AAAAGAGTTGTACAGGTTGACATGAACCCTGTGAATCACTGTGATCCACAGTTAATTGATCTCTTTGGGGCCAAGGACCATGGCCCTAAGCAAGACATCCTACTAAGCAGAGTTTTTCCCCACTAGTTTCACTTTTTTTTTTGAAGAATATAGCAGATTTTTCCTTGTAACAAGCCAAAAATAAAAATAAAAAGGTTTTCTTTAAGTTGGATTTTCTTTGATATCATTCTAAATCATTAATATGCATGTGCTGGTTCTTAGATATTTTAAGGCAGTCCTATTTAGTTCTGCTTCATGTAGAGTAAAATGACAAACATAGATTTTTGATCGATCGTAGCACAGATCTGCACCTTGCGGCATGGAATTTAATAGGAATATTGATGTGACCCCCTACACTTCGCTTGTAAACAACTGTGTGATATGCAAAGTATTTCAAGTGGGGTCGCCAACAGAAAAGCTGTAGTCTAGGCATACATAAATGCATATAGCTTAAACCATCCTTCTTCACCCAATCCCATGATTCATTGTGAGTCGAGTTTAACTGTTCAGATGGAAATGGAGAGAAGAAAAAAATGAGTAAATTTTGATATATTACTTTTTCATTGACAAAAAAATAACTTTTAGAAAGTTTATTAGGTGGAAATATAGCACTGTAAAACTCATATCTACTTGTTACATCAATATTTTTGCTTAATTACAACTTTACTCCGTTTTCAGAGAGATCTGCTCCAGGGTTATAGTTAACTAAAACTAACTGAAATTATAAATAGCATATCCTTATTTTTAGTGTTTGTCATTTTTTTCTTTTTTTCTTTCTTTTTTAATTGAGTAGTTTCACATTAGCTGCTGGCAGCTTACGGCACCTCATGGTCCGTAAAAAACACTTGTTTACAGTCTGCTGCTGCTCAGCAACATCTGCTAAATAACGACAACAAATGTTGGGAGAAAATGGCAACGTCCTTTATTTGGGATTTCTTTGAATATGACTGTGAAAAAAAAATAAAAGCAAGTGTCTTGTAGTGGAAACAGGTGATAAAATAGATGGAATGCTTCTCAAGGGAAAAACTGCATGAATCAAGCTCACACAAGATGGCTAACTATGACTATCTTGACACGCTAGCTTCTCTCAATATCTCCCATAAAAAACAAGCAACTGGTAGCGCCGCGGGTTGGAGACAACTATTGTCATCGTCCTAAAATAAACACCCAAGTCCTTAGTTGGCAAAATTGAGTTATGCAATTATTTTAGGAAGGTGTTGCTGTAATGGACGCTTTAACTAGTGACCAAATAGCTGTTGGTAAGTTAACTCCCAGAAACATCACAAGCTTGAGGATGCATTGGCAAATATGTTTATTCAAATTATAAAAAAAACTAATAAAAAACTAAACTAAACTAAAACTAAGCATTAAAAATGCAATAATGACTTGAAGGAAATTGTGTAACTGATTAAGTGAATATTAGATGCAGCATTACATTTTATGCTTTCTGATCATTGCAGCCTTAAATTCAAACAGAATAAAATTTCATGTGCGTCTTATCATGTGTTCTTTCTCTTAGCCTAAACAAAATTGAGTTATGTACTATGTCTGACATAAAAGGTAACAACTCCAGGGGTGTAACCATGAAGAGAAATACATTATAAGGTCAATTCATTATTAAAGTAAAAAGAAGTGTTAGTGTGCTGCAGAGTCTCTGCTCAGAGTTTTGTTTTGGTTTGGCCCAAGGTCTTATGCTGAGGCCTGTGCTGCAGTTTCTGTATGAACCTGATTGGAGCCAGAAGATTGAGAAGAAAGTTTTAAGAAGAATCCAGTGCATTCCTGTTTTATTTGGATATACCATTTTGAACAACGCATTGTTTCTACAAACTAATAAAAACTAGCAAATCTGCTGTAAAATTAACTGAATTAAAAGAAAAAAAGTCACAACGAAAGAAAACTAAACTGTAATGAAAAATCCAAAACTAACATAACCTTGGTCTGCTCTCGCTACTATCAGCTGGCCAGTCACAGGAGGTTCGACATAATCAGAAAAAAAACCTGACTCTCTGGCATATTATTTTCAAATTCTGGGTGGAATCCAGTTTCACAACTATTTACAAGGACTCTCAAGTCTCATGCATTGACCATGAGACATACACATTTCATGACATGCATGCACCACACTTTTCTCAGGCTAAAACACACAAGCATGCATGAACAAACACTTTTTTTTAAAGAAGAACCGATGTGAAACTGAATGTTTTCCTCTCTGGCTGAACTGTACCGTTAGGATAAACGGCTATTGCCTAAAAAAGGTACATAAAGATGAGTGTGGCAGAAAAATATATGGGGCTGAATCAGGAAGCCTGCATCCCAATTATTCGACATTAATGTTTTAATAAACCATTGTAGTCATTATGTCCATTAGAAAAAAAAATGGGGGGGGGGGTGGTTGTGTGCTATAGACCATTGTGGTACAGCCTGTGCTTTTATCCTTGGCTTTTGTTTCCCCTTGCATTACCTTTACTTTTATATTTTAAGTAGTTTTAAAACCAGTACTTTTACTTTTACCTGAGTAAAATGCTTGAGTTGATACGTCAACTTCCAGAAAAAAATTTAAACCTTACTATCTATACTCCTATTAAGTAATAAATGTAAATAATTTTGACATATCTGCCATTTATATAATAAGAGCATGAAAAATGCTTGAAGTTTTGCAAACAAATGGAGTTCCTGTGATTTTGAGTGTTAAAGTATGTGGTATGACATCGAAAACAACATACCGTACAAACAAGTGTTACTATGACAATAGCTACACATGCATTGTGGCATTTTATTTTATTTTTTATAGTATTCGCTTTAACTATAAATATGTTTCAAATTT